AACAATAACTGAGACTGATTATTTGAGGTGTGAAAATGAAAGATGTGACCATTTAAAAATCGTAATTATTATTTTCCAAACGAACCTTTCCCACCACTTCCGCCAACACCAACAATAAAACTTTAACAAAAACAATGGCGCCAATGTTTAATTTTGAAAATGACCCAGGGGCTTCATGTAACATTCCCCTAAAATTAAAGTATCGATTATAAATTCAAGAGGCCACGACATCAGACAGATCAATTGGGATATATCAATTTTGGAGATAGACAATCACAGACGGTCGGACAGACAAACAAGGCAGATACACGAATGGACAGACAGACGTTTTTCCGTCATTCGATTTTCCGGTATCAAGAACCCACAAAATATGGATTCCTGTAACATCATGTGTTAGAGGATTTTTTTCTAAATTTTGCAACTGGATTTTTTTACTTTTCGTTACCAGAGCCCTATAATAAGTTTTTCTGCCAAAAATTCGCCTTTTTTTGGTGCAGTATAACATATAACTTTCTGTCTTCTCAGTGGCGAGATGGCAAAAAACTAGTTCTCGGCGGATTGGTTTAAAATTATTGAGTTATTCTGAAATTGTAAAGACCTCTAATTATTTCATGTTAAGAATAATGAGGGAAAGATCAAAATATAAAAGTCAAGTCAAAATAACGACTTTTGAGAACTCTAATTATGTAAGGTAAAAAGAGCCAGAGTGAATAAACAACATTAACTTTAAGGCAGAGGACATAGGTAACAGTAATGGGTATTAGGATTCAATGATTGATTGATTGATTTGTGATTCCGGGTTCATCAACTGCTAAAGTTATCAGTATCGTAACTGTAGTGACTGATTTTATCGCGGGAGGTCGTGGAGGTCGTCCCCCGCTGGATGGCGAGATCCGGCGCCAACCTACCCGTCAGCTTGCGGGTTTTTCCCCAACAGGTATCTCCCACCAGCCTCAGCTGGGACAAGCTCTAAGATTCCGAATGGTCTCCCGGCATGTGTGGTAGTGTAGTGAATGTGTAGGCGTGTGTAAGGGGTGAGGATAAGAGAAGTATGAGGAGAGAAATATCGCACGCGGTCCGTGACCCGTTTGGTAGGGTACTGCTCCGGCATTCGCCTGGTGTTGATCTGAGAAATCACGGAAAACTGTCGATCAGAGCAACCGGCCCCTAGAATTGTTCTCCAAAGACCAGCTGAATTCGACCTAGCTGTGTAGCTAGTTTTGAAAATCTTGCCACCGTTGGAACTTAAACCCTAGGACCTTGCAGTCAGAGGTACTGCAGTAAAATTGAAGCCCTTATGCACCTAAGTCGGTTTGTGATTCAAATGACAAACAGAAACAAAGGCTCCTGCTGATTACAAGCGGAACTTGCTTTTTAAGGCGCCGAGATGATTCTTCTTAGCCTGAGAGTAGAATGCGGACAAAATAATGGACATGCAGGAGCGATTTGCGGGCAACCCCTGCAGATTTGTTTACCAGATAGCATCTGTGGTTCATTGATTTTATTTATCCATATGCTATAACCTTGATGGTTGCACATAGTATCAGATTGTCAATGTGCATGATATTACGAAGATAACGAAATCGCCTCTGTAGAGTAATCCCTCCGTTAGGAAAAACATTGGAAAATCCGTCATAATCTACGCTTGAATCTCGGTAAAAGCAACTGTTCTTTAAATCAACTGTATTTGTTCGTTCTGTCGAGAATCACTTACTCTTTACCACTGCTCTTTGTTTGAGAATTCAAATACAAGAGAAAGAGTTATGATTACATACATATTTTTCATTGCCCTACACATCTTTCTCTTTTTACGTTCTCGCTTTACGAAGTTTTTGGAAGAAGATGAATTGTTGTAATCGTGCGCCAGAAAACGTCGAAATTTCGCCAGAAGAATTCTTATTGCCGGGTTCTGGTAAAAAAAAATTATAAATTAGCTTGCTAAACTTAGAAAAAAATCCTCTGACACGTGGTGTAGCCAGAATCCATGTTTTGTTGAACCTTCATACCAAAAAATCTTTTGACAAGAAAACATCCATCTGTTTGTCCTTCTGTGGTCAATGCTGCGTCTAAACCGTTCAGAAGATTTTCTTCAAAATTGATATCGATCTGAATGAACTCGAGGATTTGGGAGTTTCACGCGGATATTTTGATTTTTGAGAGTATTTCACATGATGCCTCAAAAGTATTTTCAAATTTTTTTCAAAAACCGCTAAATAGTTTTGATTGTTGTTGAACAGTTCAAAGGACGTTTAAGATAATGGTGCAGATCACATTTTCGTTAACATCACCGATTTTTCGAAAATTGGAAAAAAATATTTAAAACTTCAAAATAGAAGATAGAAATGTTTGCCTCAAAACAAAGTATGTTGTACAAAATTAGCTCTTTAAAAGAAGCCATTTGCAAGTTTATTACAAAAGGAGTAGTTTTTGCAGAATTTGCGTTTTAAATTATCGCAATTTTCTTTTCTCAAAAACTGCTCCAAATTTTTTGTTTAAACTTTCTTCACTTTTGTAATAAAGAACAATAAAAAATATAGTGCTAAGCGCATTTTCGGGTATTACTCGGTTTTTCAAAAATTGCAAAAACGTGTTTAGAACTACAAAATTGTAGATGGAAATTTTTGCCCCTGACAAAGTCAGTTGGACTAAACTTGCTCTTAAAAAAATGTTCAGAACAATCTTTTGAAACAAAGAGTAATTTTTGCGTAATTAGCGCTTGAAATTTACAAAAACAAAGTTCTCAGAAACCGCTCCAAATTTTTTCTTTAACCTTTTGCCACATATATAATAATAGGATTATATATAAGCTCCATATTTTCAAAAATGTCAAAAGAACGTGAACATTTCAAAACCACAAAATTGGAGATAAGAATTCTTGCTTTAAACAAAAGCTGTTGTAAAAAATCATCTTTCAAAAAGGTCATGTACAAGTTTCTCCTCGTATTGAACAGCGTGTGAAAATACGTAAATAAATAAATAAAACTAGTGGTGCTATTGAATAACCCAGACTTACTCGCAGTTTTTAGTTTTCCAATCTCCTTATTCTGAACTAGGATTTCACTTGTGACTGATATTCTTCCCAGATACCTTCTTTGGGCGCTCAAAAATGGTTTTTACTCATTTTCTCGATTTTTGTTTCCTCATGAAATAACTGAAAGCATCATCCGCCTATTACTATTATATAAACGTAAAACCCACGTACTACCTGAGAGGCCTATGTGGCTAATTGGTGGTTCACGTACTCAGCTCTTCGGGGAGGAAGTCCGTTGGTCCCAGTCGTGGTCGGGGAATATTATTTGTCACATTTCTCTGTTGCCGCAGAGAATAATTGAGAATTCTAGAAACTTTATTGAAAACCATTTGAAGCAACGTTAATCACAGGCGCAATGCGGCGCTTCTCTGGCGAAGTAGTGCGAGTGCCGGCTCGTTGATTCTGAGAATCTGAGTCTGAGTTTCGGAGCGGAGAAATAATTTGCTGTTTGAAAATACATTTATTGTTTTATGTAATAGTATAATGTGGCGAAGCATTTAAAAACAATGCGAGAACTATGTGCATTGGCAGCACCACTAGTTTATAATTGTAAGAAATGACTTTTACCAGAATGTTATTATTGAATCGATGTGAGGACGGGTTTCAACACGAAAGATTCATGAAAAGAACTAATCACAATGTCATATACTAAATAATTTCCTATATTATACAATTAACACTCAATCTCATCTTGTTTTTATTAATTATTCTACGTTTATACTGAATTCAATCAACACAAATTCAATCAAACGACTATTTGCAAAATCTAATATAATAACGTACTTTTAAAAGTTTAAACTTATTTTTATACAATCAAAATTGAGAGCACAAAAGAATGCTCACTTTCATTCATAAAGTCAATTTCCCTTAAATGATTACTATTTAAATGCGCACGTTTCGTGTTCCAAATATGACATCATCGTATGATGTAAATAAAACATGAAAATAGATCCACCGAGATTTTCACTTTTAATTCATTATTCACATACACCCTAATCGTAGATTAAACAAAGCGAGAAGAAATTTAACTAATCTGAGCGTGTATAGGCCTAATGCAGAAGATTGTTTCGTGTTGTTATTGCGTCGATTAGGCCGCTGGGCAAACAATGTGATAGCAACGAGTGTCCTTTCACAAGATTCGCCACCGCTGCGATAGCGCGCGCAAACGACAATGAATCTGCCGTGGGAAGGCGCTCATCTCCAACAGCCAAGGCCATTGCCGTCTCCGTCGCCGTCCCGCCCC